TCATTTTCAACCACAAGATTGTATTTAGGAGTTTTCCTTAATAAATGAAATTTTTTTCGCTACTTATCAATCTCTTATAGGTTTTTATACTTGTTATTTTGTGGTAATTTTAAAATAAATATTATCCATTTGTTAATATTTGGTTTGTTTTAATTTTTAATTAAAATCATATACTTATATATGTAAAGTATTAAATATCATATATATGATATTAAATTATAATAAATATGTTTCTTTATTTCTTATTTTAAAGTTGTATATTAAAAAATATTTCATTTTTATATTTTAAGTTTAATCATTTTTTAAATTAACTCGTATAATATACGGGTCTCACACCTAGTTGTTAATATTTTCATTTATGTTTTTTATTTATATATTTATAGAAAAAAAGGGATACATTGAGATCGATTCGGACAAATTGGTAGTTTTAGTTCATTAGTTCTAATGGTATAAGAAGAAATTAAATTGATTATTTTTTTATACCTACAAATATTCATATCTAATAAAATTATAACAAGTGTAATAATTTCATATTATTTTAACTAACTCATTAAGACTATATTAAGAATATATAATATATAAAATAAAATAAAATTGAATGATGATTTGTTATAATTTTAGTTGGTAGAAATAATTGTAGGGATAAAAGGTATGAGGTAATTTAATTTCTCTAGTATAAGAACATCAATAATGGTGAATTCAATGAGATGGTTAATGAGGTGGTAAGTCTAGTTGTCATTCAATAATGGAACTTTACCATAATGAGATGTTACATTCACATTCAATGGATTTGGAGTTCAATAGCCATTGAATTATTCAATGGAAAACATAAAAGTTTTATAATCTTAATTACATACTATAAATTAGCTTTTCTAACTTTTTATTAAACTTTCTAGAATTTAATGCATTGATCCTACATTTAATTTTGGATTATTTCTGTATAAACATTCTAGAAGAAGTATGATGATTCAATATAAACATCCTACATCAATATAAAAATATTTTGTAAGATTGACTAAAAACAAACTTCATTTTATCATATTTATTTCTGAAAAAACTGATTAATTATAAGTAGTTAATTATAATTGAACTTTTTATAAACAAAAATGACTTATTAGTAGCACCCGTTTCCAAACAATAAGAGGTTGGCTTGACATGAGCTTTACCCGATTTCCCACCTTCCTCACGGTTTCTTGCATAGACTTTTTGTTCTCGATTGGCCCAAGCAAAATCCCCAAAGTTCTTGGTCTTTTAGTCTAATTGAAAATAGAGATTTTTGAACTAAATAAACATAAATGTCAACGTATCTTTTAAAACCATCAATTTTCTAGTTGCATCCACGAAGCTACATCTGTCGAGTCAACAATCAACCAAATTTCATCTTGTCTTTTTAACGAATCCTTCTTCGAAGCTAGCTCCTAAATAACCACTTGTATCTTGAGCATTAAAACTTGTAAAATCTCCCTTCGTTTGTCGTTTTTAACTCGAGAATAAGATAACTTAATACACAGCAGTACAGCACAACGATTTTCAAAATCCTACATCTGAAAACGATATAACCATCTCAGTTTATACCTTGTGCAATAAGAGTTGTACATTTTCGCATCTAACACAAGTATTTAAATCCCCAACGATCCATAGGCCTTTAAATTACCCACCACAGACCCGAGTCCAGACAACAGTAAGTATACACCGCCATCTTCAAGAAAATGAACAAAAACAGTAGTGGCAGAGCTTCTGACAAAACCCCGACAACACCAGAGACTGATATGAAGAGCATAAAGGTGAAGTACATTTCAAGCCCAGTCATGGTGGAAGCAAAAGATGCTTCTCAGTTTAAAGAAATCGTGCAACATTTCACCGGCCAAACTCCCATCCAAACCAGCTTTGGCGTATATTCTAATCCTACCACAGCCGCCGCCGCCACCACCACCACCACCACCGGAGAAGCTACTCGTACACACTTTTCTTATGAACCTTCAAACAAGAAGCCACAAGCCTTGATCGATAGTTTCTCATGGGATGATATTGCAGAGTGGAATTCATACAGATAGTTGCTCAGTGGGAGATATTGTTAAGAGTCGTAGTTATATCATCATTTTGGCCTTAGCATGTGTCTAAACCCACGATTAGTATTAAGACTCAGTTTTTGTTTATATGTTTTGAATTTCTTGTTTGTCTTCAAAATTTGGCCAATCAATCTGACTCGACCCGACCCGATTTAACAGGGTCTATTTGGTCCATGTTGACGAACGATTTGATAATATCAATTTGTATAAAAATAAAGAAACCACGAGAAAGACAAGCTACAAATTTACAAAATAGACTATCATATGATCCATCGTCCCAAAACATAAAGAACACGAAGATCAACAGTTACAGTTTCAAAGTCAACCCAACATCGAGAATTCAAATATATAGAACATTCTACGTACTTCCATAAAAGACTACAAGCTACTACAAAAACTCATAAAAGATTGAAACTAAAGCAGTTTTGCCTAACACAAAGTGTGTGATCATTGATCAGTTACCTTTGTCGGGAGATTTCAGGTACAGTGTCTCACCACCATCACCACCACCGGAGCCACCACCTCGCCCCTCATTGGTGGGCCCAGAAATCCCAATGTCTTGCTTACGAGAAAAGTCCGGGAACCCTCCTCCTCCTCCTCCTCCTCCGAGATGAGTTCCACCGCCAGCAGCATTGTTATTGTCGGACTGTAGCATGTGAAGTCCGCTACTTCCACCGCCGGAGTTCATTCCAAGCTGGCTATGCAACGCCTGCTGCTGCTGTAGCGACGAGTACTGTTGTTGACTGTAGAGCATCGAAGAACGTGCAGCCATGAGTGCTTGAGGAGACATCTGTTGCGCTTGTTGGTGTTGCTGCATGTAGTGACTTCCCGGCTGCTGCATCATTCCGCCTTGAGGATACTGAATCGTGATATCGAAAAAGAAAAAATATGTAATTGGGATCATCGGAAAGTATGAAATTTTGATCTGAATAGTGAAATTTTTACCTGAGAATGAAGAGCAGGTGCCTGGGGTTGAGAGTCAGCAATGGCAGCAAGGTACATCAGGTTTCTCTGAAGCTTGGCCTGATGTCTGCAATAATCAAAAAAGTGATATTAATTTCATTATAATTTATTAGCAAAAGACAAATGTACTATACTTCATTTATTGATATACCAGAATACACTTGGTCAATTTCAGCAAAAATTCATATCCAAAATAGAAATACTCACTCTGCACATTCGGCCATTTTCCCTGAGTTTTGACTCTCAACAATCTTCAGGATCAGAGACTTGTTTTCATCAAGGTACTGCACATGAGTAATTATATACATGAAACAAAACTAATGCTTATAAACGAAACCAACAACAAAGAATTAATATATCAGTCACATATTAACCAAATTATATTTGATTATATGGAGAACGTACACAAAAAAAAAAAAAAAGAGGGACGTGGGATATTGTATACAACATATATATAAAATAATCTTGTTGTTGCGTAATGAAATCTGGTAATAAGATGCCTAGACCACAAAAGACAACATGTCATGTGAATCAAGATAGCAAATCAAATACAAAAGCACAGAGATTGATGCAAATAAAGAATGTTTAATGACGAATCTTTATTAACCCATTACCAAGAAGGGGAGCTAATTTTATTTAATATTTAATTCAAACTGCACATTCGAATCATATTCGCAAATAAATTAAAAAACTTTATGCTTTTTTATAACGGAAAGAGAATATATTTCATGCAATCTCCAAAAAAAGTCCACTTGACGGAATTGAAATGCACCTTTTTTGGAATTTCGGACAGTTTTAATCATTAAAAAACGACTCCTTGTCCAATATTTTTTATTTTTTGTGAATACGAAACCTTAGCCTCTCTTTTCTCGACTCTTCTTTACACCACACTCAAACCCTAAACAAAAAGACTTCCATGTCCAAAACTATATCGACTTTCTTGAACTTGTGAAGTGAATATTTTTCAAAAACCGATTTAGGTTATAATGGTATTTGGCTCTAGCTAGGTCACATGACCTTTTGGGTTGGGGTTCAATTCTTGTTTTCTGTGCCGGTTATAAAGAAAACCCAAAGGTACACAAAGCTCAAAACTTTATTCTCTTGTTTAAGTTTCCCAGTAAGCAAGAGAAAAAAGCAACAATGGAAGACCCAATAAAAGATAAAGAAAACAACAACCCATAAAATATTCGACAGAAAGTTTGCATTTTTACAGTCCGAAAAAGGAAGAAGAAGCATGTGTTATTGTAACGAGTGATGAACAAACAGATCATGCAAAGAACTTGAGTATGGTGAAAAGATATTCAACACAAAAGTAGTAGAGCAATAAATTATATATATATATATATATATATATATATATATATATATATATATATATATATATATATATATATATATATGATGATAAGGTCTATATATACAGGGAACCTTGTTTCAGATGAAGAAACAAGCAGGAAAAAGGCAGGCAAAAGCCAAAAAAAGCAACATAAAAAGATCAATAAAGTTGAACAAATCCACCCAACAACAAGACACACACACAGAGGACTTGATTGTGGTGTGTGAAAGAGAAAGTTAAAGGTGAAAACGTATCTCAGGGAGGAAGGAAACCTGTTGAATATGATCAGTAGTGACGTTGTTGGAGGGATAATAGGCTGCCATCATGGGCTGCATCTGCATCAGGTGCTGCTGCATTATATATATGTGATATTTGATATATCTCCCCCCACCCTTTCACACACACACACACTCACTCTCTCTTTCTCTCTCTATAAAAATATGTGGGTGGGTGTCTTTCTCTCTCTAGACTGGATAGACGACTACAAGCACTGCAAATTGCGAAGAGGAAAATGTGAAAATGGGGCTCCACAAAGAGACCCTCTTTTGCTTTCTCTGTGTATGCGAGTTTTTGTGGCTTAAAAACTTCAAATCAGCTTTTTATTTTCCGGTTGTTTGGTTGCAAAGACTAAAATGGGGTCTCTTTTGAAGCCCGTCAAAACACAGAGATTAATGGCAGAAATGTCGATGGATAGATTGAAGGGTAAAAGAAAACAAAAAGGCAGCAGGCTTTTTTTCAGTGTACTACAATCTTTGGCTATATATACAGCTGGTGGTGGTAGGATGAAAGAGGGTGGCACAAATTCAAATTAGGGTTTAGGTTTTTTTTTTTCTTTCTATCTTTTGCTTCTTTCAAGTTCAAATGCCCAAAAATTGCAATATTCAGATGATGGATTGGATATTTATAGGAGGTAAGCACCAAATTTATATATAACTTTGTTACTTTTAGCTAGATGTTATTACTTGTAATAAGTTATTAATCACATCTTTTATAATCATAACTTTTGTTAGATATACATTTATTATTTTCTTGATAATATAAGTTATTAATCACATCTTTTATAATCATAACACACGAGGTTATATTTTTTCGATAAATCATATTTATCTTATAAAATACACAGTTAATGATCAATACTATAATTTAAAATGTAAAATCCCCAAATGCCAACTGAACTAGTAAAATAAATTTTGTGTTTTATTAAAGAAGGGTAAATAGAAGAAGAAATGCGCTATGTATCCTTATAGACACTAAATATTTAGAAAACTCTCAAAAAAAAAAAAAAAAAAAAATCTAAGCTTATGATATTCTTATCTAAGTAAAAATACAATCTCCAGAGATTTTGCTTCAAGACAACTAAAATATTGTTTATTTTTTCTCCAAAGATCTTCGAAGTTTATGATATCCTCACCTGCAATTGGACCCTCATGACAAGATTCAAAGAGTAAATAAACAAATATCATATTTTATAAAATCGACCCTCAGAAATTTATATATGTTTTCCTTTTTGTTATTAGTGATTAGTGCATTTGTTGAGAATAACATATGTTTCAAGATTAAGATTAACATCGAGTTTTATTAACTTAAGGTGTTTAGTGCAGGATATTATAAGGAGAATAGTATAAAAGGTAAAGAGCATTAAAGAGGTTATGTGGTCACAAGTTTTGAATGGAACTAAAGGGGTGCCCTCGTTCTTTGAAATTTAGTTGTTTGTTTTTTCGAAGCCAAAACGTTTGCAGTATGTGGACCATATTTGTAACCCTCTGTAGCCGAACATGCGAACCAAACGTCTGCAGTGTGCAATAAGAAGTTTGTTTGTTTTTGAACGTCTACATACCAAAACTTTAAAATTCTGATTTCTGATTTCTTGAGTCATTACTAATATCAAAAAAAAATCTGATTTTTGATGTCTTAAGCCATTAACAACAATGATAATTTAATTTTTAGTATAAACAAACAATCATCTAACTTTAAACAGACATCAACCATCTCATAGCATAATTTGATTTTGAAAAAGAAAAAAAAATGATTTTGAAAACATCCCAAAATAATCAGATTAGCATAAACAAACATGAAAAAAACTCATCTACCAAACATCCCATCAAAAAAATCAGATTTTGAAAAAAAAAAAATTGATATTATAGAAATCAGAAATCAGATGTGTTTCTTCAAAAATCATAAAACAATTGATTTCAAAGCTTTTGCATTCGTAGAACAGAAGGAAGACGTCATGTGGAGAAGGAAGCATTTGCATTCGTAGATGGTTGTGGAGGTCGAAGCTTTTGGTGCGTTTGGTGGTCGGTGCATCTAGTGGACGGTGATTCTTGTGATCGTTCGAAAGGAGGATGACTAGTGGAGGAACGATTGATGATGAGGAGATGAATGGAGACATTGAGAGGAAAGAATTACATGTTTTTTTTTGTTATGGTTCAATGAGATGTGAAGATCTTAGAAGACATTGGTCACACAGTTCTGTTGATTCTTCTAGTTTTCTCTCTGCTTTGATTAGGGTTTGTTCATACAGTTCTGTTGATTCTTCTTCTAGTGGTTATTGATTGTTTTTATTGAGTCTTATTTGATATAGTGTGAGTGAATATTGTAGTGAGGTTTCAAATATACATGTTTTATTACGTATTAATAAAAGTGAGTTTTATGAGTTTAACATGGTATCAGAGCTAGAGTTAGCTTGTGTTTGCAATTTAATCGTGTTTTTGGTGTGATCTGAGCCGTACAGTGTTCTTTGATTCATTTTTTTGTTTGTTCTATTTTTAAAACTCGGGTTTCTGAGTTTTTTTGTTGTTTGGTTTATAGTGTCATATTTTTTTGATTTGTTGTTTTCTTGTTCCTCGTCATGTATATATTACTCGGTGAAGAATGTTTTCCATTCATAATATTTTTTCTATATCAAATCTTGTGATGATATGCATTTCTTGATATGAGATATGTGTTTTTTATCTATGCTCGGGAAGGTTTGCTTGAAGATTGGTGTTTCTACTATTGTGTTGAGAGCGTCATCTCTTTTGAGAGTAAATGTTTGCTTAATTGTAAACGTTAAATTCAATGTTTTCGTTATCCCCTAACAACCAAAACCAAGTCAGATGGTTAACGTTAAAAGAGATCCAAATGTTTGTTAAATAACCATCAATGGTGTGCTTGGCATTTGAATGTCACTGTGATTGTAATGACCCACATTTTTCTCATCTAATTATCCAGGGTTATCAGTGTTTTCTAACAAATACATAATTCTATAACTCAAAAACACTTTATATCTTAGGCTATATCGGGTTTACAATAAAATCATACTCAAAATTTAAGCAACAAGGGTACACTAAAAAATAAAAAATACTTCTAGTCCAAGTCTCTGTGCTCCTACATACTCTTGTACAACGGCTACCACCTGAGCCTGCAAAACATGAAAGAATCTACAACATCAGACCACAGGACTAGTGAGTTATACTTTAATATGTTTTCATGCATTCATACTCGACTACTCTTTTCTTTCTTTTATTACTCTTACTCTATATCAACTCATGCCATCTCATCTATTCTTACACTCGTCTCATACTCTATTCATACTTTATGTCAGCCTCTCCCCGACTATTCTCATTCCTTCTTCTCACCTCATTTTGCTCCTCTTGTTCTACTCTATTTACACTTCTTATTATGACCTTTTCTTTTTCACCTCATACTCTCTTCCCATTCTAATGCATACTTCATCCTCTCTCTACGTCCCATCTATTTTTATCTTCTATATCTTTATTCTCATTTAGACCCAACCAGTCTAATTATCCATGATAGCTTCACCCATCATATATGGGACAACCTAATTCTAACTTACCGAAGTACAACCATCCAGACTATGTCCCCTCACTTTGATCCCACACGAATCCTCTAAAAACTACTCTTTTTCTTGAATCCCCTCGAGAATTACAATGATCTCTTATGGATCCTCTACACTTAATCCCTCACGGATTATGTCAAGTTTCTCTAAATAAACTACTCACTTTGTTCCACTCATGGAACCCTTTCTCACTCTTTTGTAACCACACAACCTTTTATGTAACGACCCAAATTTTCAAGGAGAATTTTCATTTAAATTAACAAACACATTTTCCCTTGCCCTTGGGCTCCGATGTACTTAAAACAAATCAACAACATGCAAGTGAAACGCTTAGTGAGTTCCGCGAAGCATACCACACACCACACATACACATATCCTAGTAGTTAATCAAAGCTACACACATATCACATAAGCCATGTATACATAAAATCAGGAAGACTGTCATGGGCTACACCACATGGTCTTTACCTTGGACTGCCATGGGCTACCCCACATGGTCTTATATCCAATGCCATGGGCTACCCCACATGGTCTTTACCTAGGACTGCCATGGCTACCCACATGGTCTTACATCCAATGCCATGGGCTACCCTACATGGTCTTACATCCAATGCTACGGGCTCCCCCTAGGGTCTTCATGCAAAACACACAATCACATATCATATCAAATCACAGAGTAACTAACACATATATCATAAACACATAATGGGCCGGCCTTGGTGCCTTAGACCCATAGGTATGGTGAGAAGACTCACCTCAATCTGCTGAACACACAAGCTGCTCTCCTAACAGTCTGCAACCTCTCGAACTGGACAATTTATATTAATCAATGTTAGGACCTTAAATTAATCCAGGAAAACCCAAACCCACATCCTTCCATGAGGCCCAAATACCCTTCCCTTGCTAATGGGTCCAAAGTCTTAATCCAAAAACCATTAATGGGCCTTTTGGACAAAAAAGGCCCACCCAAAGTATTCATGGCCCATAACAAAAGAAATGGACCATAATTCACATAATATAACCAACCCATTACCCAAAATGAAGCCCAAGAGCACAAAGGCCCAAAACAAATCCGGCCCAAACGACAGTGCGTATGCTCGGCGTACCACTCTGGTACGCGCAACGTACCGGGTCTTTAAGGACTATGCGCAACGTACATTGAGTACGCGTATCGCTCTTCCAAACTAAGCACTTTCTCCATTAAGTGCTTAATACTCAATTTCTTTATGTCCAAAAGCCAGATCTGAGCTGATTAATACGTCCTAAGGCATAAAGTTTCCAACTTTATGCCTTTTCATGCCTCCCATACACCCAAAACCTTCATTAAGACCTTTCCAAAGCCCTTAACCCATGCATGTGACCAATACATCCATCAAGACTCCATTTTTATACTTCAAAACGACCAAGGGACCTCAGATCTGCCATTCTCCTCTCATGGAGTTGCGTATCTTTCCAAAAGAGGTCTAAAGTCCCACAAAAGGGACAAAACTAGAAAACCTTAGCTAGATCTCAATATTTACAAGGAAATGTACAAGCTTTTTACCTACAAAAGCCAAGATGACCCAAAAGCAGATCCTTGAAGCACCCAACTGATCCAAGCTTGCTTAACAACTCTCCTTCTTGAAAGAACTCTAAAATAACCACCAAAACCCTCTTTTTAGGCTCCAAAACTCACTCACACTCTAACTCAGTTGTAGGAAGAAGAACTGGGGCTAAAGAGAATGATAGGGTTTGGTCCAAGAGGCCAAAAGGCGTTTAAATAGGGAACAAGTCTGGGATTTAGGGTTTAGTCCTTCTAACGTGTACGCCCAGCGTACGCAGGGCTCCTCCGCGATCACTTAGGCAGAGTATGCTAAGTGTACCCATAGGTACGCCTAACGTACTCAAGGGACCAAAAATGCAAAGTGTGAATTCTCGAGGGTCACAAGACATACCAACTTTTGGGTGTTACAACCCTCCCCCACTTGAACTAGACTTCGCCCTCGAAGTCCGCCGCTGAAAACAGTTCAGGGTAATGCTCTCGCATCTCCTCCTCTGGCTCCAAGTCCATTCGGAGCCCTTATGATGCCGTCATTGCACTTTTACCAGTTTCACTTCCTTGCGTCGAAGGCCCTTGATCTTCCTGTCTAAGATGGCGACTAGCTTCTAAACATAATTCAGGCTCCCATCCACCTGTATTTCATCCAAGGAGATGACTGCGGACTCATCAGCGACACACTTTCGAAGTTGAGACACGTGGAAGGTGTTGTGAATCTGACTAAGCTCCTCTGGCAGCTCTAAGCGATATGCCACCTTGCCTCTTCCGAAACCTGATAATCCCCTTCCAGGGTGAAACCTTCAGTAAAACTAAACCCCCCACCTGAAACTCGAGATCCGAACGTCGTCGGTCAGCATAACTTTTCTGATGGCTCTGCACGACTTGTAACCGGTCGCGCACCTGCTGAATCAATCTGGTAGTCTTGAGCATCACCTCGGTGCTCCCCATGACCCGATGTCCAACCTCGTCCCAACACACTGGAGTCTGGCACCTCCGAACATATAGCATCTCGAATGGGGCTCGATCAATACTAGCATGATAACTATTGTTGTACGAGAACTTTGTTGACAAGAGATATGAATCCCCACTTCCTCCAAAATCCAGTATGCATGCCTGAAGCATGTCCTCCATTGTTTGGATCGTCCTCTCACTCTTACCATCGCTCTGTGGCTGGTATGCCGTACTGAAATGTAGCTGAGTGCCCAGTTCCTCGTGAGTGCCCACAGACACGGGCAACGCGTGTCTAGCCA